CGTCTAGGCTCTACTTAAAACCCTCCAGAGAAGGAGACTCCACTACATTCCAAGGCAGCATATTCCACTGCTGAACAGCTCTTACTGTCAAGAAATTTGTTTGTTTGTTTATTTATTGCATTTCCATATCGTTCTTCTCATCCATGGGGGGGGGGGGGATGGGGATGGGACTCAGATGGGACATTCATCAGGAGACAAACGAGTGAGTTTGTGATCCTGGCAGGATAGTCTCCCATTGTGTAGAGATAGTCTCCTATTGTAAACCTATCCCCAACATCCATACTGAATTGGTGTCTCATATCAATAGATGAAGCGCCAGTAAACTCTGGTTCAATCCTGCACCATGAAGGTGTTGATAGGTGGCCTGACTAAACAAGAAAGTGGTATCCTTCAACCTCTATTGGTTTGCACTGCAACTTCCCTAAATGCAGGAGTAGGACTTGCACATTCTGCAGGGTTTGAGTTCTGAGTTCCCTTCCTTTGAGTTGAAGTATTCAGGTTTTCCCCAAGCCCCAAATGGTGATTCATACTTCAGGAGGCATCCCACAGGGTGATCCCCTTCCTTGCTTTTGAGGTTATTGGCATATGAAAATTTTCCATAAAGGCAAAATTAGGAAATAGAAATCTTCTACTAGTGTGTGTACATGTGTATATATGTGTAAATTCAAGTTGCCTTCCTATTTATTTATATTTATTTATTTACAGTATTTATGTTCCACCCTTCTCCCCCCGCAGGGGATTCAAGGCAGATTACAATGCACATATACATGGCGAGCATTCAGTGCCATTTAGACATACAACATATATAGACAGACACGGAGGTAATTTAACATTTCAGCTTTTCCGGCTTCATGAGGGGGTATGCTCGGTTCTGGACACAGGGGGAGCTACCGCTTCACTGTCCACTAATGGCACAGGTCCTTTGATAGAGTACTTCCTCATTCTTCTGCATGTTGCTGGATAGTTTTATGGTATTGTAAATTAGTTAAATTAGCCTCCCCGCATAAAGCAGTACCTAAATTTCCTACTTGGCAGATGCAACTGTCTTTTGAATGGCATAGGTCAACAGCATTACTGCATTAAATCAGTAGCGATTTAATGCAGCTGGCTACTAACTAGCTACACCACTGCCCAGTCCCTTATGTACTGTTTTCTTAGGCAAGGAAAACTTGCGAATGGTTTTGCCAATTTCTCCCTTTGAAATATAGCCAGAAGGACCTGTTATTTGTTGGTATCCCGCCATCCAAGTACTGACCAAAGCTGTCCCTGCTTAGCTTCTAAGATCAGTAGGATGAGCCTCCCTTTGGGGGGAGAAGGGCGGGGTATAAATATAGGAAATAAATAAATAATAAATAAATAGGTTATAATACCTTTCAGGTATTTAGGAAAATCTCTCTTCAGCCTTATTGTCATGACCATGCCAAGTTAGAGCATATTGCAGATTATTATTATTATTATTATTATTATTGATTTGCATAATTCTTTGAGAATTAGCTGTTACATGGCGAAGTGGTGGTCATCCTCACCATAGAAATTTCAATTTCAGTGGTTTTGTGGGGATGATGGGATATGTGTGTAAGATTTAATGGCTTTCTATGCCATTTTCTTTCCTTACTTCAAAATATCTGTGGACTGGGGCACAGAAGCTGGGACAACTCAAAAACATATTGCTGAGCTTGCCCAGTAAATGCCTGTCCTATGACACCTTTTGCAAAAGCTCTGGGAACAAAGCCCAAGTTTGTTTTATAGGCATTCCCAGGGAATTATGTTCCAAGTTGGCTTTTGTAAACAGAGGTTAGGGAGCAGGCTGCCTCCACACTAATGTATCATGCCTGAAAATCTTTTTTCACTTTAGGACCTATGGGAATGATGTGGTTTCTCTGGTGTAGTTTGTCCATGGATTTGCCTATGTTCCACTCTTTAAAGCCATCTTAAATTGGTTTGCCAGCATTTCATCTTGTACAAACAAAATCCATAGCTTTAATCTTCTATCTTGTTGTTTCATAAGATGATGTCAGTTTCAAGTCTACAAAAGTCTAGAAAAATAGAAAAGTTTTCTATTTTTCAACTGTTTCCATGTCATGCAGGGGCGGCTCGTCCATTATGCGAAGTAAGCGGTCGCAGAACACTTTTTTTTGCCAGGGGCGCAGAGGCGCCTCTGTAAATGCCCCTCGACTGCCACTTGAGGAGCGCCCCCTCAGCTCACAACAGCCCTAGCAGTCCGGGGGGAGCCTCGGCTTTCTTGCCTCGCTGGGCGATCCTCTTCCCAAAGGGGCCGGGCCCTTGAGCCTCGCCTAGCCCCTCTCGTTCCTGCTCCACCCTGCCACGGGTGCGTGAGCAGAGCCGGCACTCAATCGTTCTCCATGTTCGATTCCCTTCCCCATGACTGGCTCCTTTCCCAATCCCCCAGCGCTCCACCCGCCTCCTCTGCTCTCCCCAATCCGCGGGTGGGCCAAGGGGCGGAGCCGCCGTGCCTGGCCCGCTTCGGGTCCGGAGGCGTGTCTGAAGACCCCAGTGTGCGCACCAAAAGTCGCCTCTTCTCCTGACTTTCTCTTCAGCCATTGGGACCAAGAGAGAGAGAGAGAGAGAGAGAGCCCCTCCGGCTGGAGGTATCTCCCACCTCCGCTCCCTCCTTTGTTTTTGCCTACCTTCAGGAAAGGTGGGCATCTCCACCTCTCTCTCTCTCTCTCTGTCCCAATGGCTGAGGAGAAAGTCAGGAGAAGAGGTTACTTTTGGTGCACACGCCGGGGTCTTCAGGCACGCCTCCGGACCCAAAGCGGGCCAGGCAAGGGAGCAAGTGCGGCAAGTGTAGTTACTGGGATGTATAGTTCACCTACAATCAAAGAGCATTCTGAACTCCTAAACGGTTCTGGCCCAAATTACCTATCTGACCGCATCTCCACCGATGAAACCACCAGGACTTTGAGATCTTCCGGGGAGGCCCTGCTCTCGATCCCGCCTGCATCACAGGCGCGGCTGGCGGGGACGAGAGACAGGGCCTTCTCGGTGGTGGCCCCTCGGCTGTGGAATGCCCTGCCCACGGACATCAGATTGGCCCCCTCATTGATGGTATTCAGGAGAAGAGTGAAGACTTGGTTATTCGAACAGGCGTTTGAATAAAAAGTGCAATGAATTTTAAGAATGGAACTACGACTGACGAGTTTGGATCATGATTCTAGTTATGAGACGCCAATTGACTGATTGTCTATGATTGTTAATTGCTTAACTTGTTTCTGTGTTAATCTGTTTTTAATTACCTGTTGATACCGCATTGAATTTTTGCATTGATTGTTCGCTTTGTTTGTGCTTGACTGTTGTAAACCGCTATGAGTCGCCTTAGGGCTGAGAATGACGGTATACAAGTGAAGTAAATAAATAAATAAATAAATAAATAAACTCCACCAATGATGGAATTGAACCAAATATGGCACACAGAACTCCCACGATGAACAGAAAATATATATCAATGATTGGTTGGGGGGGGGGCGCCAAAATACTGTTTGCTTACCATTGAAAATTACCTAGGGCCGTCTCTGATGTCATGCATAAGTTTTATGCACCTCTATTATATGACATTTTCTCATTTCACACCTCAACTTAATAGCTTTAGACATTGTAAGCTCATTTTCCTTCATGGTTAGTAAAAGAATACGAAATCTGTCCTGAATGTAATTTGGGGACTGCTCTGGAAGTATACAATACACTATGTGCAATGATCTTTTTAAATATGAAAACAGAATATGTTTTGCTATTGTTCCTAAATATTCTTCCGATCTCCTTTGCCCAGACCAAATGTAAAAAATGGAAACTGTAGCTTAATCTATCTATCTATCTATCTATCTATCTATCTATCTATCTATCTATCTATCTATCTATCTATCTATCTATCTATCTATCTATCTATCTATCTATCTATCTAAAGTAGAAGTATGTTTGTTTGTTTGTTTGTTTGTTTGTTTGAATAACAAAGGCTCCTACATGATTTGACTTGGTGCATACAACCTTCACTACCTAACTTAAAGTACTAGTGGGATTAGAGGTTCAGGAATCCACTTATTTTATTTGTTTCCAAACATTTAAACCATCTATGTTGCCAGTGAATAGGTCTTATGATGCAGTTCTCAGAACTGTGGCTACATTGCCATATAATCCAGTTCAAAGCAAATATTCTAGATTTTATATGGCTGTGTAGGTGGGGCTTATGAGTGAAAGAAAGAGAGGAAAGAAAGAAGAAGGGGGGAAAGAAAGGTGGCAGAGAAGGCAAAAGAAAGGAAGAGAAAAGGAAGAAAAAGGAAGCAGTAAGGAAGAAGGAGTAAAGAAAAAGGGGGAAAGGTATCAGGTAAGGCAGAAAAAAGAAAAAAAGGAAGGTAAGAAAGAAAGAAAGAAAGAAAAAGAAGGGAAGAGAAAGGGAGGGAGAGAAAGGAAAGAAACGAAGAATGAGGGAAATTAAGGAAAGAAGGAAGGGAGGAGAGAATGAAAAGGAAAGAATAAAGGAAAGGAAAGGAAAGGAAAGGAAAGAGGGAAAAGATGTATGAGGGAAATGGTGGAGGGAAAGAAAAAACCACAAAGAAATTGCAAACTCAGGCAATGCCAGAGATAGACAGACAGACAGACAGACAGATAGACATACTAGCCTATTATAATATGTGACAGCTACTATTGTTAACTGGTAATGAGGAAACCGGTCTCTTATTGAGTCTCTTATGGGAAAATTTCTGGAAGCTTATTACTAAGGTTGCCAGTGTTTACGCCTCTTAAAATTTCATGTCCAGGAGAAGTTCATTCTTTCCATTTTGGGCAGTAATGGAACTAGCTAGTCCTGCTAAACAGTTACCTGTCATGCTGTTATTTTCTGTACAGCAACATCATTTTACTTAAAAGTTAATCTTGAGTGCTTCTTCTCAGACTCCTGAGTTGTTTATCACTAGAGATTTATGCAACTGTGCTACTTAGTCTTGCATACCAGTGGCCATTCTCCTAATATTCTACTTCCTTTTCAGAAAATGCTATTTAAGAAGAATTGTGGCACAAAGACAAGAATCATCAAAATTCGTGTGAGTAGGCCATTTCTTGTTTGTTTTCCCTCCCCTCCTTTACTGAGCCATGAAGGTTTTGGATAATATGCTGTATCTAGACCCAAGTGGTAAGGAATTACATATTGAGCTTTGGTGGATGAGCTTGGTGTTATCAACTTGTCCCAGCTTTGTCCACCCAGATATTTAGTGCGGCATCAGCCAAGATTTGGGAGATTGGGAAGAGGAACTGCTGACATCCATAAGGATTCTGTCATGCTCACAAGGGGGCCCATCTGTTCTAGCACTAACTTTGTATAGAACATGGGTGCCTTTCTACAGCCTTTCTACTGAGTTGGCTGTGGCGATTGTAAGGTGGCATTGGATAAGTTCAGGATCTTAAACCAACAGTTTTTGCATCAAAAAGTAGGGCTGTCTGTAAAGTATAATGGACTTGTAAATTGCAATTTAATATAAGCAATTATAGTTAGATTCTTGCATTCTAACTCAAATGCAGTTTGATTATTAGATTTGATTATTTAGCTTATTAAAGGTTGAAGACAATAACCCTTTTCTATTATATTTCCTGTCTCTGCTAATGCTGGGCTAAACAAATCATGAAAGTGCCATATCATGATTTTGGTATGGCTGTTGACAAGATCCCCCATGAAGTTTTCACAGGAAAGCTAGTAAAATCTGGGCTAGGTAGTGCTACTGTTATGTGGATTGGGAATTGGTTGACTGGCTGAACTCAGAGGGGTCTTACCAATGGTTCCTCTTCATCCTGGAGAAAAGTAATGAGTGGGGTGCTGCAAGTTCTGTCTTGGATCTAGTGCTGTTCAGCATTTATATCAATGACTTGGATGATGGAATAGAGAACATGTTTATCAAATTTGCAGATGACACCAAATTGGGAGGAATAGCTAATACTCCGAAGGATCAGAATCTAAAATGACCTTAATGGATTAGAAAGCTGGGCCACAACTAACAAAATTAATTTAAATGTGGACAAATGTTAGTTACTATCCTTAGGGGGGAAATTGAAAGGCACAGATAAAGGATGGATAACAATTGGCTTGAAATGGTAATGTGAAAGGGATCTAGAATTCTTGGTTGACCACTAGCTGAACATGAGTCAACAGTGTGATGCCAGTGTAATTATAGGCTACATCAATAGAAAGTGTCTACGGAGGGAAATCATAGTCCCACTCTATCCTGCTTTGGTCAGACGTCATCTGGAATACTGTGTCCAGTTCAGGGAACCACAATTCAAGAAGGATACTGAGAAGCTGGAACATGTCCAGAGAAAGGCAACCAAAAGGATCAAGGATCTGAAAGACAAGCCTTATGAGGAATGGCTTAAGGAGCTAGGTATGTTTAGCTTGGAGAAAAAAAGGTCGAGAGGGGACATAATAGTCATGTTTAAATATTTGAAAGGATGTCATACTGAGGAGGGGCAAGATTGTTTTCTGTTGCTCTGGAAACTAAGGCATGCAGCAATAGATTCAAGCTGCATGAAAAGCTTCAAGCTTCCTAAACATTAGGAAGAACTTCCTGATGGTTAGAGCTATTCAATAGTGAGGACTATGCTGCCTTGGAGTTTGCTGGAGTATCCTTCTCAGGAGATTATTAAGCAGAGGCTGGATGGCATCTATTGAGAGTACTTTGACTGTGTGTTCCTGCTTGATAGGGGCTGGACTGGATGGGTTCTATAATCCTATTATTCTTTCTATTTTGTACACTGGACACTGAATAGAGGCACATGCATCTATACCAGGAAACTGAATTTTGATGCTTTTTAATGCTGGGATCCATTGGGAACTAAGAAGCTAAAGAAAGTGAGGTGGGGGAGCTTGGGTTTAGAAGAGACAGAGAAGGACAAGCAAGAAATGGGGGGTTGGTGAGATAGATGGAAAATATCCCATTTTCAAAGACTGGGGAGGAAGGCAGTAAAATCATGTAATTATTTATTACTTTTTCACCTAATAGGTTCATTGTAAACTTTTAACTTAAATTGCAATTTAATATAAGCAATTATAGTTAGATTCTTGCATTCTAACTCAAATGCAGTTTGATTATTAGATTTGATTATTTAGCTTATTAAAGGTTGAAGACAATAACCCCTTTCTATTATATTTCCTGTCTCTGCTAATGCTGGGCTAAACAAATCATAGGTCTGATCCACCAATATACTTCTTATGTAGAAGGAAATGGGTTGTTATGTCTATTTGCCTACTATATCATTTATTACAACTTGGAATTTTCAATATAAACACTATATACAATTTTATTATCATTTCTTTGGCTTTGAGTGTTGTAAGAGTTCTCTATCTGCAAGTTGCTTCTGGGTTTTCTCTCCTTCTCTCTTTCACACACCAAGTGATGAGCAAACTGTTTCCCATATCTATTGGCATTAATGAATGAGACTTGTTTTACACAAATATCTTAAGAAGATACATTGAATAACACTGATTTTGCTTTGGTGCTTCTAGTCTCAGTGAAGCATGAGACCAAAAAGCTACGAATAAATGAGTCAAAAAGGCAATGTTTCCAGTAAGTACTGTAGTAAACTGTATCCAGAGAAACCTCAATATTCCAATCGTCTAGCTATTTATATAATAGATAATGAGAGAATTCTCTTTCTGTAAAAGCAATAGCTATATGCGGGAATGCTGTATGTGGGAAAACACAGGATAAGTGAAACCACAGTATGTATAAAACCACAGAATAAGTGCACATTATTTGTAACCCTAATAACTCTCAAATTCTGTTCCAAACAACATTTGTACAAATCTTCGGGATTAAGCTCTTCATCGCTGAGATAATTACATTTCTCATTCCCTCTCTTGAGCTCTTCAAGGCCAAAACTGTTGCCAAAGAGGCTCGCATAAATCTCAATTAATTCAATGTATTGTATGCAGTTGCTTGGTACAGTATTGAACTCCATATTTAGAGGAACCATTTATGTCTATCATGTGTGTGTATGTATGTGCATATGTGTATGTGCCTTAAAATTGTCTGTCGACTTATTGTGATCCCATTAATTTCATAGGATATTCTTAGCCAAGGAATACTCAGAGATGGTTTTGCTAGTTCCTTCTTCTGAAATATAACCTGGAGCACCTGGCATTTGTTGGTGATGTCCCATCCAACTACTAATAGGGATGATCTTCCTTAGCTTATATGATCAGATGGGATTTGTTGCTTTTAGTGAATGTAGGCTCTTTTTGTCCATAGTATAGGTTGAGTACCCCTTAGCCAGAATTTTGATATCCAGCATTCTCCAAAAATCTGAAATTATTCACATGGACGGCTAAAATAGAGACCTATTTATTTTCTGATGAGTCAATGTAGGTAAACTTTGTTTAATGTGCAAAATTATTCAGAATATGGTATAAGATTGCTTTTAGGTTGTGTGTAATAATTTTATAGGAAGCATAATTCCTCTAATATTATGTATATTATCTGTAAAGTGTATAGGCATCGAATTGTGCCTTTTTTGTAAGCCGCCCTGAGTCCTCCCTCAGGGGTTGAGAAGGGTGGGGTAAAAGTACCTGTAATAAATAAATAAAATACATAAATACATTTTATTTTAGACTTGGGCACTATGTGCAATATATATCATGATGTAGATATTCCAAAAAAATCCAACTCTTTGTAGGTTAACTATAAATCCCAGCAACTACAACTCCCAAATGACAAATTCAATCTCCTCCAAACCCACCAGTATTCAAATTTGGGCGTATCAGGTATTTGTGTCAAATTTGGTCCAGCGAATGAAAATACATCCTGCATATCCGATATTTACATTACGATTCACGATAGTAGAAAAATTACAGTTATGAAATGGCAGTGAAAATAATGTTATGGTTGGGGGTCACCACAACATGAGCCACTGTAGTAGGAGGTGCAGCATTACAAAGGTTGAGAACCACTGAAGTTTAATCTGTTTCTGTAAATCAGTGGTTCCCAACCCCTTTTTGACCAGGGACCACTTTGACCAGGGACTGCTCTCCAACATCAGTACCAAAAGAATTACGAACCAGTTTTTGATTCAGTTTGTTTATTTGAGGTGCTTATTCAGAAAATTGCATTGGATAGACCACATAAACTCTAGTTTCTGATACAGAACATGTGCCATCCAGTAGTCGCCATCTGCTTGCCCACAGAAAACCACATTTAATCGTCTAATTTATTATTTATTTATTATTTATTTATTTACCTTACTTATATACCGCTTTTCTCAGCCCGAAGGCGACTAGTGCAGTGGACCTTATTTTAGGTCTCATGGGCCACCAGTGAGCAGTGGTTCATAGGCTGGGAACCACTTCTGTAAATTATGTGGGATTACCCTTTTATTTTGCGAGTGAAGATTCTCTGTATGTTTTGAGTACAGAGCAATGTTGACAAAGTATACAAACAAACAATCTGTCCAAGTTGCAGCAGACTTCATGCCATATGCACTACATGTAAGAGATGGTACAGTCTTGATTGGTGTATGTAAATCCATCAAGAATGCAGGCCATATGGAAAACCCAGATAGTTAAGGGCTTTGTTTGTTATTTTGTTGAATAGAGTAGACGTTTGTGGTTTATTTATGAATTGATGTTGCAGTTACAATTTCTGGAGAGAATGTCATTGAAATGTCAATTTTCAGTATTATCTACATATTCCCAGAAGTATTTGGGTGTTGGTACATTTTGGACATTGTTCGCCATTAATGAAATTCAGGAATGGGAGGCAAGAGAAAAGGCATCCTTTGTAGCATGCGGGTGGGGAGTTGTGGATCACTGCTTCTCAGATATACTTTGGGGGAATATCTGAAAGAGAAATGATGAATTTATTGCTTGCCTTTCTTGAATCAGGTGGACTACATTATACTTTTGTTTATGATATTTATGGAACTCTTGTTCCTCTTTTCATTTATTGTGATACACCCTGATTCTTACCCTTGGCCTTTACTAGCAAAGCAGTTTGTCCAGAGGCAATTAGTCCTGTTTAGGCATGTGTAGTACCAGTGCCAACAGCCTTGTTTTATACCA